ATATATATATATAATATTTTGAAACTAATTATTTTTTTTATCATATGTGCTACTTCTATCGTTATATAATTTTTCCACTTTATTGTTTGTTTTTCTTTTTATAAAATTATTTTCTAATTATCTTTTGTGTTAATTATTTCCTTATAATACTTTTAATTAATTAATAATTTTTAGAAAAAGTAACAGAAGATGAAAATTAACGAGATAAACTATTTTTTTTTATAGAATCGGAGTGAGTAGATCTAGTTTTTAGATGATTAATGTACGGGTAGGGGCGTTCGGCCACCGCCGGTCGGCCGCCGCTGCTAGGGAATGTTATTACGCTAGTTTGCGTGTTGAGCCGAGGGAGGAAAGAAAATCCAAATCCAACAAAATTCATGCTGTGAACGTTTCGGCACTAGTAGAAGAGGCTGTGTTGGATCTTGATCCAAGAATGAATAATGAAGAAAGGGTGGAACCAATTGAGTCTAAAGTGCCGTTCCAGATAGGCTCACGTCCCGAGCAGGTCACGTACATCGGTGCCGAAATCTCTGAAGATGACCACTCGGCCTTATGTCAGGTTATAAAGAAGAACAGAGATCTCTTCGCATGGACACCCTCCGATATGCCAGGAGTGGATCCAAAAGTCATGTGTCATAAACTTTCAGTCTGTGCCGAAGCAAAACCAATCGCGCAGCGCAAGAGAAAAATGGGGACCGAAAGAAAGCTGGCAGTTGAAACAGAGGTTGCCAAATTGCTTGATGCCGGATTCATTCGAGAGGTTCATTACACCACTTGGTTGGCGAATGTGGTCATGGTAAAAAAGTCAAATGGAAAGTGGAGAATGTGCACAGATTATACAAGTCTCAACAAGGCATGCCCTAAGGATGCCTATCCACTTCCAAACATAGATCGATTAGTCGATGGAGCCTCGGGACACGAAATGTTGACATTCCTGGATGCTTATTCGGGATACAATCAAATTCCCATGCATGCTCGGGATGAGGAAAAGACGGCCTTCATTACCGATTCGGCTAATTACTGCTATCGGGTAATGCCGTTTGGGTTGAAAAACGCTGGAGCAACGTACCAAAGGTTAATGAATAAAGTTTTTCAACATCAGATAGGCAAGAACATGGAGGTATATGTGGATGATATGGTGGTAAAATCCAGAAATGTTGATCAGCATGCAATGGATCTTTCTGAAATATTCAAACAGTTGCGCAAGTATGATATGAGGCTTAATCCGGAGAAGTGTGTGTTTGGAGTATCAGGAGGAAAATTCCTTGGCTTCATGCTTTCGGTTAGGGGGATCGAAGCTAATCCCGATAAGTGTATGGCAATCGTCAAAATGATCAGCCCTAAGAATCTTAAGCAAGTTCAGCAGTTAGCAGGTCGGCTTACAGCGTTGTCAAGATTCCTCCCGTGTTTGGCTGAAGTAACCAAACCTATGGTAAAATTACTGAGAAAAGCGAACAAGTTTGAATGGTCTGCCGAATGTGAGAAGTCTTTTCAGACTTTAAAAGAACGTCTTGGTTCTCCACCTATCCTTTCTAAGCCCGATCCGGCAGTACCAATTGTGGTCTACTTGTGTGTTTCGAATGACACAATAAGTACGGTTTTAATTCAAGAAAAAGAGGGACAACAGCCCATTTATTTCATCAGTCGTATGTTACAGGAAGCCGAAACAAGGTACCAGCTCTTAGAAAAAGTGGCACTCCGGCTCGTTCACACTGCTCGGCGCCTTCGGCAATATTTTCAGAGTCATCAGATTATTGTTCGAACTGATTGCCCGATAGCCAAAGTGATACGCAAACCCGAGTTAGCAGGAAAGATGATGGCTTGGTCAATTGAGTTATCGGAGTTTGATATTTGTTTTTAACGAGGCACCTGTTAATAAAAATCATTGCAGTTCTTCCATTCTTACAGCCCAATTTTCGATTCTGTTGGGACATGCGACTCCAGCAAAAGAGTGCGAACAACATCTAGTAAATGGAAATTTTTTCGTTCAGCTACCCCATTCTGTTGGGGGGTTGATGGGCATGATCGTTGAGATAAAATGCCATTGGTTTGCAGGAATTCCTGAAATAAGTGCGAGGTGTATTCCCCCCCATTATCAGAGCGAAGAATCTTGATTTTGGAGGAGAATTGGGCCTGAACATAAGCATAAAAAAATTTGAAAGTAGCAAAGACTTCATCTTTTGAGCACAAAAAATAGACCCAAGTGAAATGACTATAATCATCAATAAAAGTTACAAAATACTTGTAATAAGCATGAGATGTAACTGGTGCTATCCCCCAAACATCACTATGGATGATATCAAAAGGTTGGCTGACATGCGACTGATGTGTTGGAAAAGGTAAAATTTTACTTTTGCCAAGCTTACAAGGAATGCAATCAAAATGAATATCATTAAGAGAGGGGGTGTGTTTATTTCCAAGAAAACTAGATTTGAGCATGTCATGGAGTACATTGGAGTTGGGATGCCGAAGACGCCTATGCCATACTTGATAATCAACAATTGCAGAATTACAAGAGACTAAAGGTAAAGAAAGACTTGGAGACAGCGAGAAATGGATGGGAAAAAGACGTCCAACTTTAGGCCCCTTTGAGATTATCGTCCCCAAGTGTTGATCCTGCACAAGACAACCAGACTGTGAGAATTGAACTCGACAATCATTTTCGACTAATTGACCAACAGAAATGAGATTACTGGTGAGACCAGGAGCGACAAAAACATTTGTTAGAGATGAAGAAATATCACCAGTTGTTGTTATAGGCAATTGATTTCCACCAGCAGTATGTATGTTAAGATTCCCCAAATATTTTTTTTTATTAGTAAGGAATCGAGTATTGTTGGTCATGTGGTTGGAAGCCCCATAATCAAAATACCATGGTAAAGAGGATTTACCTGAGAATCCCAAAGCAGAAAATGCTGAAATGATCATTTGTTGAACCATTTCAGGAGTCAAAGTGGGAACAACAGTAGTAGCATGTTGTGGGACAGGTGCTGGATTGGTAGAACTGTTGGGAGTAGAAGAATCAGTGGTGGTTGTAAAAGCTGTTACAGTTTGCCTTGGTGGCCTTATTGGGCATTCCTTAATAATATGTCCATCCTTTTTGCAGTAGTTGCAGAATTTTTTTGGACAGGAGGAAGCATAGTGTCCAAATTGCTTGCAACTAAAACATTGAATAGCACTCATGTCATGGCGTCGTGACTTCCCTTGTGCCACGTATGCTACGGGAACAGTAGACAATCTTTATTCTTCAATGATGGACTGTGTAAGAAGACGTTGTTCTTCACGTAACAAATCGTTGAGGCACGCATCCAACAATGGTACAGGATCTCTATGCATGAGATGGGACCGGAGGCCTTCAAAGTCAGATCGCAATTTCATAAGAAATTGGTCACGTTTAGTAGTTTCATGAATTGTTTGTACGGAACTTAGACCTTTAGAAGTCAAGTTTGCATAAACTATATCAGTGTATTCAGCCCAAAGATTCATGAATTGAGAGTAAAAATCAGAGATGGAGAGACTATCCTGTTTAAAATTAGCAATGTTGTGCTCAAGCTGGAAACGACGAGCGACATTATTTTGACTAAATTTTCTTCAAGTAAGACCACATTGTTGCTGTAGTCTTGTAAGGACGAAGATTCAGGACAATGTTTGAATCAACGGAACCAAGGATCCAGGCCATGACTTGAGCATCTTTGACTGCCCATTGAGCATGAGCAACCGTCTCTTTGTCTTTGTTAGGGGTAGGAGTGCTGCCATCAACATGCCCCCACGAATCTTTTCCGGTGACAAATATCTGAAATTGAAATGCCCAAGCTGAGTAGTTTTTTTCAGTAAGGCGAACGAACAAGATATCATATTTTTCGGAAGTCATGGAGCTTCGGAAATAGAAATCGAGAAAGCAGGATCAGGAATCTAGGACGAGACTGAAGAAAAAAAAACACAAACTAGGTGGTGGGATCGTAACCTAGGCTGATACCATGTCATGAACTAGAGAAAATTCAGTCAAAGACCGTATGTTCTCCTGTAGGAGAATTCTCATATAAATACAAAGTAATTACAAATTGTTAAGCTGATTTTCAGCCCACTAAATAAGCTAAACTGCCATATATACATTTACGACTAATTATCCTAATTAAAGAGAATAATCGTTATAAATAAATATATAATTGCATATCTTTTGCCATTCATTCTGTTGACACTATGAACTGATGAAGAATTCAATAGAATGATATCCTGCTCAAGATCACCCTCATAAGAGAAATCTGCTAGATAGGGAGCAACAATCTTTATGGAAGATTTATGTGATTCATTTGACACAGATCTCCATGATGCTACAGAAAACCTTTCAAGTAGAGGTGCTTCTATACTAATGTTCTGCTTAGTTTGCCACTCACATCCTCTGGCTTCAAACACTTTGAGAAGTGGGAATCTAAGAATTATATCTTCTGAGTAATTGGAGGATTCACTCACTAACCTGATACCAGAAAGGCTAAGACTTTGAAGGTTTGGGAGAGAAGCAAAGATTGGAACACTAAGAGTACATCTCATTTGAAGCACCAATTGTAATAGAGAGCTGCAACTAAAGAGGGTTTGGGAAGGAAAGAGGATTTTATCAGCATACTGAATATGAAGTTTTTGAACACTCTTTTCCAAGATAGAGGAGATCCATGAACTTACCAGGGATGAATCATAATGATAACTTGTTAAACAAAGAGAGAAGCTTTTGACAATTGAATTGGCAAAGTGAAGAACCACCCTATTTACAGAGCACACAAATTGTTCTTTTGGCATCTTCTTCCCAAAACAGTGCAAAGCATCGTTAAATTGTATGCCTGTGATGGATTTCCAAACATGAATCCACCTTTTTGATAGCACACTAGTGCGGACTGCCTCAATAGTTGGAAGAAAAGACAAGATTTGACCAAGAATGCTTTCATGCAACTTGCTGATTATATCTTCCCCTTCAACCACAGTTTCCTCAGTAGGAGACCTTTGTATTGTTTCACTATTCTGAGTTGAAATAATTGAATTCATATTTTCAAACACCTGGTGCACGATTCCCAGAGGTTTCAAGTTTCACATATCGTCCATAGATCAATAATTGCAAAGGAAATAAAACAGATTTATGTAAGCATGCACCGTTTAGTAATACCACAAAGTTATTTAACATGAAACAGAGGAGATAAAACTATTGCATAATTTTTCCCATTTGGGTTATGTTTAAATTGTGTCAGAAACAGAATAGTGAGTTAGGTAAGATTAAACTGAGAAATTATGCTCACTAGAAAAGAAAATGAGAAAATTGCAACTTTCATTTCTTATAAGATTTAATTTCTAGGAGCTTACCGCAAACTTTTAACAACTGAAAAAGAAAAAAACATAAGAATCAACTAGGAAGAAAAATAGAACATGTAATTTGAACAGATGAATGTGAAATTAAGACTCACTTTGATGAAGAATTAATTATCAGAGCACTGTTGAAAGGCTGAATTGAGGAAAAAATAAAATAAAATGCACTATAAATGGTGTATCAGTTCTTGCCTGTGTGACCACATGGAGCTAACGTAGCTAGCATGAGAATCACGTGACTTGCACAAGCATCAGGACCATTAGTTCACTTACCTGTTTAGAAATTAGAATACCAATTAAAATATATTAAATATATTCTTAGTGAACATGAATATAAAAATTAAAAAGAAAATAGAATTTTGACAAACTATTTTGGGTTTTTATTTTTTTAAAAAAATTAATTGATTTATAAAATAATATTGAATGAATCACCAATTTAGTTCTTGAAATTATAATAGTTAGTCAAATTATTCCATAAAATTAATAAAGGGATAAAATAGTTCTTGAAATTGTAATAGATGGTTAAACTGGTCCTTGAAATAGATAATTATTGATTAGAAAGTATTGCAAAATAGCCTAGAAAATTATTGATTAATTTAAGGTTTTGGAATTATAATCATTAATCAAATTGATCCTTAAAACATTATTATAAAAAAATCGAGACACAATTCATATAAAAACTATAAAAAAAAAGTGTGAAAAAAAGAAGAAAGTAACAAATTGAAAGTTGGAGGTGTAAAATTAGAAATTTTTTTAAAAAATACAATATTTTATAAATTTAAAATAAAATAAAAGAGATAAATATCTTCTCGATAAGATTTAATAAGGTAATCGAGGAACACTTAAGTGAAAAATAAATAAATACTTTAAAATATATTAAGGACAGTTTTGAAAATTAAATTCAAATTATAGGTCAATTTAATGTTTCTTTTACCAAAGAGATTTATATCATTTCATTGATAATGAGAGAGTTAATAAAGGTTAGAATAATAAATAAAAAAAACATGGTGAATAGGGATTGGCATAGAATCGTGATGCTCTATCAAGTGAATGACTGAGTAACATTATTGATAATTGTAATCAGTTTGTTTTTTTAACAGCGTAATCAATTTAATGTTACTAAATGAATTCACTAGTTTTATTAAAGAGCATAAATTACTTAAAAAAATATTTTACAGAAAGGAGCTAATAGTAAACTATCTATATGTCAAATAAATATTATTCAATATAATCGGGAAATTAAGCAATTAAAATAAATGGAGCTCCCTCCTTCCATTAACACTAAAATAGAGATGACAAAAAGAGTCACGATTCACTAACTTATCAAAAATTGACAATCGGGTTTGGTATCTTAGTTCACTAGTCTCTTAGGCCAAATAGCATGTTGGAGTGGGTTGGTGTAGCAGTTCGTCTAATGTAACGGTCCGACAGATCACTACATTTAATATAGCACAATAACTATGTATCAAAAAATATAAACTACTCAACTACATACATTAGGATTGTCTTGCGATAGTCACCCGAACATACATACAACAATTATATATATAAGGTGCATAAAACTTAAAATAATTCATTCTAATACGTTATATATATACCATGTACATATATACAATATACATGTAATATACATACTGTAAGCAAACACAACTTTATCGTTGATCAACGTCTCTATACAACAAATATTGCATCAGGTAGTATATACAAAATAGGTCACCTTTAGCATGACCATCCACCAACATTAAAGCCAACAAATTATTCATGCACCACCCTCATGTCAAGTATGATCATTACAGTTCAACAAAAAGAAAAAAAAGGAGTAAACTTATGAAAGAATCAACATAGCAACAATATGCGTGTACAACTTATACTACACTAACAACTTAAACAACATCCTACATATCATCAACAAGTACAACTTTCAACTTTCATATATAACTTACAACATGAACAGCATGCCATAAGGCATCACATGCAATAATGTATCACATACATGGTCAATTCACCATCTTATTCATCATCATCATCTTCATATCAACATACATGCATGTCAAATCATGTTAGGATATATGTTTAAACATTCATATATATCATTCTCAATCATATATATGAATCAATCACCAGTTTACATCATATAACATGTATATGAACCAACTTTACAACATAGTATCGTATAACTTTAAACAAATTTTCAATCCACATGATAACACCTTAGAACATTATAACAGAATCAGTTTTCATCATTATATTGTACAATAACTCAAAAACATCATAACAACACGCATCTTCCTTCAATAACTATCAAAGAAAACAACACATGGAGAGTTATACTCATCCAAAAAAAAAATTCTCTCCTTCTCATTTTTCTTCATTTTTTTTTATTGTTATTTAAAAAAAAAATCATGCGTGAAACTAGACATCATAATCATTGTTTGAAAAAAATTATTGAACGATCCTAAACTACACGGTCACTAACTAGTTGTACCAATCCATACATAAAGGATCAAGTGTGAACATAGAAAAAATTTAAAAGTAAATGCCTATTGCTAGTGACATGTTTCTGCCAACGCCCACCTTCTCATCTACTCTGCAAATCCTTTTTGCATATTCCAAATCACATAACACAAACACATTAGTCAAAATGCGCTTAAACCCATCGTCGTATTGGAGTATCTTTCTTTTGCAGATTTTTACTTCACTTTTTTTTTTTTTTTTCATTTTAAATCCTCCGACCTGGTTTGATAATTGAGAGAGAAGACCTAGGATTTGTTTATTATCTGTAAACATTTTTAAACGGAAATTTTTTTTAAAAATTAAATAAAATAATTTTCTTTCATATACAATAGGTTATGTGTAAGTTGAAAATGTGTTTTTCTTGAGAAATTATATGAGAGAAATTTTATAAATTAACTTATACATAAATTTAACAAAAAATAACTTATACATAAATTAATTTTAATTTGTGAAAATACTTATTTTTTTTCTTTTTTTTTTCCTCCTACAAATTCTTATGAAAAGTTTATTCAAATAAAGCATTTATTAAATATGACTACTTATAATTTTTTTTTGATGAAAACTAGTAATTAGTAAAGTTAATAATTACTTTACATGTATAATATAGTAAATAAAATGTCATTTTAATTGATATGTATTAGGCCTAAATATGGGTTGGTTTTGGATAAGTTTGGATCTAAATTTTCGAAATAAATTAAGAGTATGTTTGGATGGAAAATTTAAATAGGATAATTTATTTAGTTCGAAGAATTCAAGTTTTTTGAGGTGAAATGTATTATTTGAATGAGAAATTTACAAAGAATTTGAAATTCAAGTATTTGTGAAAATTTTTAAAATAATAAAATTTTAAATTCTCCAAAAAAGTAAGAATTTGAAATTTATCATATTTGTTTTTCTTATTTCACTTGTATATTTTATTTTATCTTTTTATTCTTTTAATTATTGAATATTCAAAAGTATTATTAAAATTATTAAATATTATCTAATATTAATTTTTAAAATTATTAAATATTTTAAAATTGGTTAATATTTATTTTTATAAAATTTAATTTAAAAATCTCAATATATGAATATATTTTAACAATCAATTTTATCATGATGGAATCAAATTTTAAAATTTTAAAATTTAAAATTGACTTATCCAAATAAAATAATTTTAAAATGATAAAAATTGAAATTAAAATAATTTAAATACAAAATTTTTTAAATTTTTTAAATTTGTAAAATTTCTCATGGCCATGAGGAAAGGCACATTTGGGTGGGACAGAGTAGAATAGTGAAGGTATGGAATATAGCAGAGTAACACTTCCTCGTAGAAGCTCCTTTGAAAAAAACTGATCACCCCTTTAAAAGCTCCCCAGGCAAAAGTCCTCCAACTGTTATGTATGTTTGTTTATCTTTTTTGGTTATGACTTTCCAACAATAATTTACACAATGCACTCAAAATTACTTATGTCTCCTGTTTTAATTAATTTACACATTGTATTTATTATGGAGTAAAAATAAAATAAACGTAGATTAGAAAACATTAAAATTATTTTATAAAGAAAAAAAAATATTATATTCATTAATTTGTGTAAAAAGCTTTTAAGCAATCATTAACTATTAAAAAAAGTAATTTACCGACCAAATCGATATCTTTAATGACTTGTTAAATGATTATTTTCTTTTAATAAATTGTAATAAATAAAAAATATGACTAAATACTAAATAATATATGAACTGACAATGTAAATAATTTTTACAAGGTCGTCTAATATAAGTTACTATATATAGTTAATTTATTAAATTTTTTTACGGTAATAATTTTTTAAATTATATCAACAAACCTTTTTTTGGCTACTTGGCATGTTTTATACACTAACAGTATATAAAAATTAAACTCACAAATACTGTCATTTGATTTTAATTTTTTTTAAGAAAATACTATCGTTTGATTATTCATTGTTATATGATTACAATCAACGTAGTTCACGCCTTCATGATTCATGATCTCAATGAAACATTTTATACCCCCATCATTTTTATAGAAGTATGAAATAGACATTACTTAATATTCTTAATTATAACTAAATATCTAATAAAAATAAACTATCAAAGCCAATCTAACAGTAACTTAACATAAGAGAATCTTAATTTTGAATGTTCTTGTTGTTATTGGAATTTTTATAAATTAAAAAAATAAATTAATAAGAATAGGTTAAAATATTTTTTTTGGTTTTCATATCACTTATTTATTTTTTAGTTTTTATAATTTAAAATAAATATTTTTAATTTTTATATTTATCTTTTTCAAATTTTTAGTGCATATATTCACAGTTTTCTGATTCTTTTAGTCTTAGTTGCTATTTTTTTTAACTATGATGTTGTCTCATGTTAATATGATAGATATATATATTAATTCAACTTTGTATCTAATATCAATTTTTTATTATTAAAATTACTTTAAATTATATATTTTGATGTTTTATATCTTTTTTTATCTTCACTTGCAACACTCATTATTATTGAGATGTTTTTTTACTCTCACAAAATTGAAGATCTATACAAAAGCAACAAAAAATAGACAATATTATAAATAAAAAATTAAGGACAAAATTGTAAGTATAAAGACTAAAATATTTTGTCTTAAGCTATAGAGACTAAAAAGATTAAAAAAAATAAGTATAAAAGTAAAAAATAATTATTTTAAATTATAAAGACTAAAAAGTAAAATAAGTAAATTATTAGAAAAAATATTTTAACCATAAAATA